CTATATGTACTCACACCTTAGAGTTAACTAACTGTATCCAATAAAAATGAAGGGCAGGGTATTAGCACTGATTTCTCTGACTCACACTGACAACCATTCTTAGCAGAGTAATATTCCTGAATATCTCTAAATTACATATGTACATTAGCAGTACCAAGATCACATCTCTCTGTGAACAATGGAGAATTTAAATTTTATCTTGCTGTTTTCTTTCTTGCTAGTGTAACAAATTAAAATAAACCCAGTGTCTTAATTTGACACAAATGTATTATCTTATAATTCCGAAGATCAGAATCCAAATGTGTCTCATTGAGCTACAATCAAGGTGCCAATAGATAAACTCTTGAGGGTTTCTGTTCCTTTGACTTTTTCTACTTTCAGCTACTGTCTGTATTCCTCAGCTGCCATCCTTTTTGCTGTCTTCAAAACCAGCAATGACTGGTGGAGTCTTTCTTACATTGCTCTTCTAACTTCCCCTTCCACATTTTTCTGGGTTAACCCAGATAACAGCATAAGCTCCCTTCTTTAACTTCATTCAGTTGGTAAGCAATTTGAATTCTACCTGCTATCTTGGTTCTTTGTTGCCAAACAGTAGAAAATCCTCAATGATTCTGAGGATTAAGATGTTTACATTTTTTTTCAAGACTGTTCTCCTTTAACCATACCTCTATATACCTTCTTGGGTACCCATAACTAATATATAGTATTTAACTTTATTTGTAGGTCTCTTTTTATAGAAAATGCAAACAGTGTAAAAGTGGTTCAGAAGGGTTTGTTAGAAAATGTTGTTCAGTGATTTGAAAATAATCTAAAACTGTGTTGCTTTTCTTTTCAAGGATGGCAATTAAATACCTCTTATTTTTGTCTGCTGCTGCTGCTGGCTTTCTGACTGCTTCAGCCCTCAGAGTATGTCAAGATTGTATGTCAAAAAATTACTTTTTAGATAAGAATAACAGCTAACCTTTTAATAAAACAGTAAAATAGACACTGTTATGAGGAGGCTACACCAGTTACTCACTTATTTCTCATAATAATCCTATTAGGCAAGTACTATTCCTAATATCATATTACCAAAGGACAGAAAAAAGGAATAAAGAGACTAAGTAGATGGTCAAGTGTAGATAAACTCTTAGGAAGTGGCAGGGCCTAAAACTAACCTTATTCAGTCTAACTCCGTGGGCTATATCTATTTCATTTTCCTAGATAATACAAAAAAAGAAGAAGAAAAAAAGCAACTGAGAAATAGATCAAAAACTATAATCTATCCACTCATTTTCCATGGCAAAATAGAAAGAAACAAACAAATAAACCTTGTTGTTCCCAGACAAGTTATCTCGCCAAGACCCAACTTGCACTACGTGATTTGTGATTATAATAAGAACTTAACATATCAAAACTAAATATAAAATGAAAAGGTACCCATCCTATTAGAAATGGGATCAATATATGATGCCTAAATCTCATTACTTAATAAAATAAGTATTTGGGTTAGGGTTATAGCTCAGTGTTAGAGTGCTTGCACAGTGTGTGTGAGCCCCTGGGTTTGACCCTCAGTGTCACAAAATAATAGTGAGTAATAGTAACAGTAGTAACAAATGAAATGACGACTTCAGCAATCACAACATAAATGGAACACTCAGTGGTAGAAAAAGGAGTAGATTTTATGATCAGCTAATAATATTCATCTTAAAATAATCTCAATAATATTAAAAATATATATTTTTTACTTTATCAAAACTACTTCAATGATTAGCTGAAAACAATAACAAAATACATGTGCGTGTGTGTGTGTGTGTGTGTGTGTGTGTGTGTGTGTGTTTCCTATAGCCCAGGAGACAGAACTCAGAGTAGAAGGCATTTAATACTATTGTTGAAAGAAAGTCTACATGCATTAGACTACTGGAGTGATGGCTGGGTGTTTGCATACTACCACTCTTCTCAACATACAGTGACCAGTTGTCCACTGCCTGGTAACCCTCTATTAAACTGGAAGTAGAGTCCTAAAGAAGACTCTTCCTCCTTCCCTTAGATCATCTTCCCATTTACTCACCCATGTATGAGGGAGAGTAAAAAACTTCACATTATGAAGTGTGAAGAAAGAGCTAGCCTGAAGTATAGCCACCATTTCAGAGGAAAAGAAGACAGTCAGAAATCTACATTTATTTTCAAAACCAGTATTAGATAGCCAAGGGTACTCAACCCAAATTTTGAGAGACAGCCTGGCTCAGATTGCCATGGAAAAGAAAGTATCAGTATCACTAGTTAAAAGCCCAGAGCAAAATACAGGTAGGTAGAACACTCCTCTTATTCAGGGGAACTGGAACTTGATTCACTTACTGACCAAGAATCCACTCAAAACGTAAGATAGAGTGGAACCACTGCTAAAACAACATGAATGCATCCTGGCAGATTGGTGGAGTGGGCAAGAGCAGTGGGAGCAGCTCTTCTCTAGTAGTGAAGTAGAATATTTCATGATCCATTGAGGGAAGGTAGATGTGATTAAAAGAGAGTGCAAAAATTCTGCAATAATGTTGTAGAGAGAGAAAGTGAGATAACCATATAATTGTGCAGAACTGATGAGCAGAATTAAGGGCCAATTTGAAATCTCTCAGTCTGATACAGGATGATACCATTATTTATCATCTTGTGAGGTATTTTTTTGGCCAAGATCATTTGACAAAGCTGACAGCAGTACTGTTAGTCTCACCCAAAGTTAGTGTGTTCCTAAGTGGGGTATTTCTAGGTGAGTTGGGAAGATAAAGGACTCAATATTTTAGGAACAGAGTTATTAAAATGAGAAAATATGACAGAAAAGATAAGAATGAGCTGGCAGAGAAAATGCATAATGAGTTTGTTCGATTTTATTGAAGAACAGAGTGGCTGACCTTAGCAACTTTGTCAGGGAGAAAAATGCTTCATTAGGTGATTTGGAAGATAGGGTATTTGGGGATAATTATGAGGAATGGTTCATGATCATCAAAATGGGAAGCAGAGGAAGGATTGAAGAAGTTTATATAGGAAGAGTTTAAGGACCTAAAACTTCAGAGGTATTTGGTCATTCATGTGGATGATAGTCCAGTGAGTTAACTACAGAGATCTGAGGATGAATGGCTTTCAAGAAACTGAATTTCCATGAATGACAGGAAATAACAGATTAAAAACAATTGTAGAGGTTATAAGTGTTCACAGATGAGGTGATGGAGGCAAACATCATGCTGGAACAAGGGTTTTCAAAAGTGTAAGGAGAGCTGTAATCTGGAAGCTGTGTGTAAATTCTTATAAGTACCCAACACTTGCATAGTCTAGACCCAAGCTGCTTGTGATGTGAAAGAAAACAGAATCGTAAGTATGCTTTAAGAAAATGATATCTACAGGGACGGTTTCTAAAGGGGTCATGTGGATTCCATATTTCAGCCCTCTCCTGAATTAAACTTGTTGATGTAAAATGAATGATATCTATTTGAGTAAGTGCTGGATCTAGTCATTCCTAAATTTGGCTTGATGCCCTTATTGTAACTGAGGAAGAAACAAATGCATTCAAGTTATATAACATTAGTTTTACCAATTTTTTATTTATTTTATTTTTTTTTCATTTTTCTTTTATTATTCATATGTGCATACAAGGCTTGGTTCATTTCTCCCCCCTGCCCCCACCCCCTCCCTTACCACCCACTCCACCCCCTCCCGCTCCCCCTCAATACCCAGCAGAAACTATTTTGCCCTTATCTCTAATTTTGTTGTAGAGAGAGTATAAGCAATAATAGGAAGGAACAAGGGGTTTTGCTGGTTGAGATAAGGATAGCTATACAGGGCATTGACTCACATTGATTTCCTGTGTGTGGGTGTTACCTTCTAGGTTAATTCTTTTTGATCTAACCTTTTCTCTAGTTCCTGGTCCCCTTTTCTTATTGGCCTCAGTTGCTTTAAGGTATCTGCTTTAGTTTCTCTGCGTTAAGGGCAACAAATGCTAGCTAATTTTTTAGGTGTCTTACCTATCCTCACCCCTCCCTTGTGTGCTCTCGCTTTTATCATGTGCTCATAGTCCAATCCCCTTGTTGTGTTTGCCCTTGATCTAATGTCCACATATGAGGGAGAACATACGATTTTTGGTCTTTTGGGCCAGGCTAACCTCACTCAGAATAATGTTCTCCAATTCCATTTTTTAAAAGTTATAAAGTGCACGTACTATATTCCACATGCCCAAAAATATAGCCTTTATGGCAATTAATGCTAACCTAGACTATTTTGGATACTCTTTGATTCTTAGTAAGTTGTAGAATAAGAGATATAGGGGGACAAGGAGGAGAAATGACCCAAACAATGTACATACATGTGAATAAATGAATAATAAAATTTTTAAAGATATACAAATTAAATGAACAGTCACAAATTCTAACCAATAGTCCTATTGGATTCTATTTTATACTTTCTTACATGTACATGTGAGGACATTGCCATTTTTTCATGCAAACAAGAAAAAGATATGGGTTGGAGGGACAACACTTGAGGTTCACGCTCAATATTAAATCTTTCAGTTTCAATCCCTCCAAACATTAGTCAAAGATCACAGTTTATTTGGGAAGCAAAGAAAGCTCTTGTTGGAGTGGAAAGAAAGATGTGTAGAGAATAAGCCAAAAAGGGGAAGACAGTTAGCAAACAGGATGATGTCAAGACATGCCGTACCGTGTCTCTAATTGCCCAGTAAAATGTGCTTCGAAATAGCCCGAGGTGTGAATCATAACTTGGAAAAACTCTAATCACAGAGTAATCAGTGCACTGTTCTGAAGACTTGTGTAATCTTTAGCCTGACATTCTGAAATACTTAAAACTTGCATTGGAAAAAGTAGAATATGAAGTATTGTAAATTCAACAATGTTTAGGTTACTATTGACTCGATGTAAGCTATAAATTCGCATTGTTTGTAGAAATGCAAAAATATATTGTATGTGACAAGTTACACTTAAAAGATGTTACATAAATTAATAATCTTCTGGTGACAGACGAAGTTAACTAGAGCCCTCTATAATAAACTCACCACTGAACCACAAGCAGTACAAGAAGAAATTGTCAACATACACAACACCTTCAGGAGAAATGTATTTCCACCAGCCAGGAACATGTTGAAGATGGTAAGTTTAAACAACAGCACCACCAATGATGGCAATAATAATACCAATGGTGTTTACTGAGTTATTATTAAGTTCTGAGAACTTTCAATACACTAAAACTCTGATTGTCACAACAATCCTATGACATAGCAGAAGACTGAGAGGAGGAAAGTGATTTCCCACCAATCATACCCTCAGTAAATGACAGTGCAATGAGATCTCACTCAGGCAGCCTAGCTTCACACATTTGTACTTTAGGACAGTGTTCCTCACACTTTAGTGTGCTCTAGATCACCTAAAGTGCTTTCCTGAGTTCCTGATATCCTCATTCAAGCAGTTTGACATGGATACCACTACTCACTCCCATGCTGAGCAGGGCAAACTTGGATTAACAAATTATCTGGGCATTTCATAACTGTCTTCATTGGGAAGTAGTTTTGAGGCTACCAAGACACTCATCTGAGAATTAAGATGTTCAGATGCAAAGACAGTTGATGATGCCAGGTTAAAACATTGACAAATATATTTCTAGTTGCATATGATAAATATCTTTCCACGATAAACCTGGTGTGTTCTGCCACAAGACACAAGTGAATAATTACATATTAATTACCTAAATTCAGTCTGCTGCCTTGGATCCTGGACTGGCCTAAACTTATAAGGGCTAGGATTAGTGCAGGCACTGGAGAGTGAGTCTCAAAAACAAACTTCTCTTGAAAATAGTGTAGAGGCAGAAGCAAGGGAAAAGAAAATTGTTTTGAAATTTATCTCTTAATCATTATAAAAGTCAAAAGTGATAAAAATCAGTGCCCTTCATAGGTATACTTGCACTATATTATAGCCAACAAACATCACTTTATTATTTTTATGAATAGATTCCTTCTATTTTTAGCATAGAAACATTTGTTTATTTTTATGACCACTAGCATTATTATTAATAAGAATTCTTCTACTTTGTTAAATTAATTCATTTAATTCTCATGGTTACTATCTCTACTTTAAAGATTATAACCCAGAGTGTCAGAAAAATTAAATAGCTGATCCAAAATCCTAAATGCTGTAGCTTGGTTTCAGTTGTAAGTGCACTAGTTCCAGGGACTCTGCTCTTAATCACTTACCTTTCTAGTAAAAACAGTTCACACTCCTTAGCTGTCAAATGAACAAATAATTGTAGTTTAAAGATCTAAATGAAGTTGAAGAATGAATGGGAAATATAGCCTCTGAAATCAGAGACATTGAAGATGAAAGATGAATATAAATCATTAGAAAAAAAATTTTTAAGAGTATACATATGCAAGTGTGAAGGTGCAAAGTTATGAAATATCAATATGATAGTAAGTTAAGAGTACCAGTAAAACTGACTGACATTTCAAAGGAATGTGGGGTTGAGTTGTTCCATGCACAATGTATAAGACGTGGACTGAAATGAATGGATAGAATTAGAAGCCACAGATTTAAGTAATAATAGAATTGAAGAGTCAAATAAAAATGCCAGGAAGAGGTTTTCCAAAAGTGGAAAAAAGGGTCTGAACACAAGATTAAGTAGAACCACTTGTTAAAGTTAGAAGGAATAGCTTTAGTGCGAAAAATAAAGTATATTCATTTGTAATACTGGCTTAGATTTATCATAAAATCGGATATCTTGACATTAATCAGTTATTGTCCTAGACAACTTCTTCAAAGTGAACTGAACTACAGACTGGATAAAATGGTGTTACAGGTAGTATCCTCTGATAAGCAGACTATGAGATGGATATTAGATTCAGGACTCACTGAGGAATGACATTCAGATTTACAGGCATCTGTGGAGGTAGAGAGAGAAGCAAAATTATGCAAAAGGGGGATTTTATCTGTGATGTAGTCAAAATATGGGCATTGGCTTATCCTACGGGAAGCTATAAGACTAGCAAGAGTCTTTATGTTGTCTGCAGTTAGAGACCGGTGGTCTGGAATATGTATTTATCAGCTCCGAAGTGGGATGCCCCAGAGAAGGGAGTTTGCTCATAGATAAGAACAGTTTTCAGAGAGGGCAGATAGAAGAGATGACTGTGAGCAGCTCCACTCCCACATGCAGAGGAAATAAATCCTTCACTGTAGAAAGAGACCCGAGGACTGCTTCACAGAATCCACCACAAGCAGGGAGCTGTGACTTAGCCAGATATGTTCAAGTTCTGAGCATTTGGTAACATGATCACAATAGGCAAGTTTTCTTCTCTAGTGATTGAAATGCGTTCCCATTGTCAGAAGGTCCTATGCACTGACTGGACCTGCGCTCACCTCTGCTCCTTCACCTAGGCACAACTAATATATCTCTTTTCTTACGTGAAGCAATTAAAATCTGCAAAATCATGCTTTTGTTCAGTGCCAAGCTAATGAGTTATCTCATGAGTTAATAAATTCATCAACCTGAACAGTAATTCTAAGAAAGTACCACAAGATGGGAGCATATACACACACAGTGATATGTAAACATCTTTCCACGCCAAAAATGACATTGAAGATTTGAGCACATTCCCCACATTATCGTAAAGAGTTGGTGAGTGATTTACATAATTGTCCATAGCCAAAACAAGCAAAGTCTACAACTGTCATTGGTAATGTGATTTGTGTGATACAAAGGACATTCATTTAATGAGTGTATAGACTCAGGATGACTGGAGTAAAACTATTTGTCACATTGTAGCACCTACTGACACCATACTTGAAGAACAGCTGCTACTGAGCTGAAGTCCACAAAATATTTTGAATCAGCAGCACACATCACCCAATTGAGAGTTCTGAGTACACTGGAACCAGACTAATTGACTCAAATTCTTTTGGTGTCACTTATTTGTAATGTGATCCTTAAATTTTCTAAAACCTCTGTTCTTCACTTGCCTCATTTACATACAAGAAAAATTAACAGTTCCTCCCTTGTGAAGTGGGAGAATTGGTAACAGATGCAGTGTTACCACTTGCATGCAGTGTTGGCTATTGTTTTATAATATTAATCATAACATTTGTACATAGATTTATATAATAAAGATTATAATCTTTAAAGTAGAGATACAGGTGTATGACTCTGTATTTGCTACATCTGAGAATGAAGCTCACTGATCGCTATTGCTGAATTTTGAATTCGTGAATTCACATTAGGATGTTTTAAAATATTTGTTTCATTTTTTCTCTACTAGAATAAAGAGTAAGAAGAATGAAACCTGCTGAAATTGTTCTAAGAAGTGGGGAAGGAGGAAGTGCCATAGAGGAGTAGTCTAACTAAGATATATTGTAACCACATATGCAAATATCACAAATATCTTCCCGTGCAACTATTATGCTAATAAAAAAGAAAAAATTTAGTTAGCACAATACACAAGTCTTAGAAATGTTAATGGCATCATGTAATTCTGGGTTTTTGTTTTTGGTTTTTTTTTTTTTGGTTTTTTGTTTTGTTTTGGCCACTGTAGATGTGGAGTCCAGAGGCTGCAGAAAATGCTAGAATTTTGGCAAGGTATTGTGATTTCGCACACAGTGACCCACTTGAGAGGAGACTTAAAAGTACGTACATGTCTTCGTAATTCTGATTGTGTTGGTTAGTTTTCTGTTGCTGGGACAAAACACATGAGAGAAACAGCTTAAAGGAGGAAGGACTTATTTTGGCTCATGGTTTCAGAGATGTCAGTCCATGGTTGGTTAACCCCATTGCTTTATAAATAAGGTGAGGCAGAATAACCTGGCAGCAGGAGTGTGGGGTGAAGTAGGCCACTTATCTCATGGTGGCCAAGAAGCAGAGAGAGAGAGAGAGAGAGAGAGAGAGAGAGAGAGGGAGGGAGACCTAACTCTTTCAAGTAGGCTCCACTTCCTATAGTTTTGGCCACCTCCCAATGGCATGAGTCTTTGGGGATACTTCCTATCTAAATCATAATGCAGATTTTTTAGAAAATTAAAAGAAACACCTCAAAAATAAAAATTCATTGTTAATTAACCTGACAAGAGCAACTTAAGTCATCCAATCTATTTTGCTTTTGCCTATACATGGCTGTAAACTGTGGTCTGATATATTTTTATCTTTCCTAGTTTTTATTTTTATTGGAGGTATTTGGGGTTGAACTCAGAGCCTCACACTTGCTAGGCAGGTACTCTACCATTTGAGCCACACCCCCAGTCATTTTTGCTTTAGGCATTTTTCAGACAGGGTCTCACATTCATGCCTGGACTACCTGGCATCTCCTTATTTATGCCTTCAGTGAAGCTGGGATGACAGGTGAGTCACACTGCACCCAGGTTTTGTTGGTTGAGTGAGGTCCTGTGAACTATTTTGCCCAGGCTGGCCTCAAACTGGGATTCCACTGAGCTTCCTGTGTATCTAGGATTACAGGTATAAACCACCACCCATCTCATTCTTAATTTTTAAATTAATTTATTCACCAATGAAAAGGAAGCTTGCCTGCAGAAACTATGACTGGGTTTACCTTCTCCTATAAGATGTTGCCTAGAAGATCAGTGAAACAGTTGTAAAATAAGAATGAAGAAAATCTCCTTCCATGATATTTCCAATATTTTTAGGAATATCACACAGCCCTATTTCCTCCTTTCAGATACTTTTTGTGGAGAAAACCTTCACTTGGAATCTTACCCTATCTCATGGTCAAATGTAATTGAAATCTGGTACAATGAGTCTAGATATTTCACCTATGGAGAATGGACATCCTCAGATGACGACACAAGAACTGACCGTTACACTCAGGTAACCTGTGTGCAGGCAATACACACAGTGGCAAAGGAACTATAAGCATGGCTAGAATGTGAGTAAGGATGAGTAAGAAACAACTGAAGATCATTCTTACCTGCTTGTTGCAATATTTACTCAACCTCCTGAGTTACTCTTATAATGCTGCAGAGGAAATATAGTTTCCTCAATATGGCTTAGAGAAGATAATTGACCTCTTGGTTCCCTTATTGAATCACTTGATTTTGGAAAGTCAGAAAGTCATGAACATCAATATCATTTGTAAATTAAGTTTGTAATATTTATAAAGAATGGAAATGAAGCACCTTGTAATCAGAGCCAAATTTCTTCCAGCCTTATTTTATTGTGGTAATATATAATGAAAACTTTACCATTCTGACCATAGGCAGAATTAATATCCCTCTGTAGAAGTATGTTACAATTGAGATGTGACTATCTCTAAAACATCACTGTCTTCCATACCCATTAAATAATTCTTCATTCCCCTCTTCCCCAAACCTCTGGGAAACAATGAGACCACTCAAATTTCTTCATATAATTGGAATCATTCAGTTATCTGTCCTTTTCTGTCTACCTTCTTTTAAGTGCCATGATAACGTTTTAGCATATATTAATTATAAAAATTAAGGGATTACCTTATGATATTTCCATGTATACATAATGTGTTTTGATCATATTCACACCCTTTCAGCCCTTATCTCATCCTCTTTTCTCCTTCCATATCCCTAACAGGCCCCCTTTTACTTTCATGTCCTCTTTTTCCCACCAGGATTTGGCATATGAGAGAAAACATACTTTTCTTACTTCACGCAACATGATGATTTCCTGTTCCATCTGTTTTCCTGAAAAATGACAAAATTTAACTATTGTCTGCCTGAATACAACTCCATTGTATTTATCATTCACCAATGATAGGCACCTAGGCTGATTCCATAACTTGGCTATTGTGACTAATGAGGTGACAAGCATGGGTAATGAAGATAATTCTAGAGTAAATTGATTTTGACTCTAAGTATTTTATTATTTATGCTTTTAAATAGGATACCTTTCTAAATTTCATTTTCAGATTATTCTTTGTTACTGTTACTATTAGAGAAGGTTGGGGCATGAATAACAAGAGAGTAGAAGGAGTTCAAAACAGAGGGAAGTGGACCGTATCAGTAGGGCCTGTTTGCTGTAGTGAAGTCTACATTTCATCTTAAAAGCAGTGAGAAGATAGGGGTATCTTAAAGAAGGTAGTGATTTAATCTGATTCATGTTTTAAAGAGACCATTGGACTGCCTTGTAGATAATTAGTTAATTCTATGAAAAAAATTGAATATCTAAATTGCAAAGATTATTTTCCAGTAAAATATAAGCTTATAAAACTTACCCCATAAGAAATTAAAGATTTAAGTATTTAACATGGAAAAACACAAAAACTGTAAAATACCTAATGTTCCCAAAGCAGGAGCCTCAGATGTGCTCATTGGTAAATTTAGCAAAGTCTAAAATAAAAACCACTTAAAGTAAGTCTTACTTAAAATTGATATTAAAAATTGTCAAAGACAAAGCATTTAAAAATTAGTTATTACATCAATGCAGAAATCCTAAGTAAAACACCAGCAAGTAGCGTTCCTCTTTTAAGACTGATATCCTTGAAAATAAAACATATGTGCTAAGAATCCAAGAGTATACTAACATCTGACCAGTTAACCATATTATTCATGTTATCAGAGGGCTAGAAGGAACCAAAAAAATGAACACTTATAGAGAAAAATATAAACAAATTTGTGTTACGAACTCTTACCTCTTAGTTCTTTCATATGAAGATCAACTTGACCCACTAATTCTATCACAAAATCTTTAGCCCTATAACTCATCTAGCACCATAAATGCATCATCTTCAAATAATCTTTGCTTTTGTCAAAGCTATTCAATGCCAGTTAAAAATATGTCTTGTAAAAATGAATTCTCTCATTGCTTATTTCCAAAAAGTTAAGAGAAGAAAATCAAAGAATTTTCTTTAATTTGCTTAAAATTTGAAACAGTGGGAACTAGCAATATTTCCAAAATGCCTGTCACTCTATATAAATGCATTAATATGCTCACAGAATAATTTCATAAAATAAATGGCGTTTCTCTAACATTATTTATGCCTAAAAGACCTAATGAAAAAAGTTTTATCTTCATTTCTTTTTGGATATAGGTTGAATGAATGAATAAAATTAAATCCAATTGTTTTACTAATAAATAATGTACAGTGGGAACATGACAAAATAGATGTTGTATTTTAACATAAAACTTTCTTATAATTATGTCATCCATTAGATTTTAAGCTCAACAAAATTTCTTGAGGAAATATACATTTTTTAGAGAGAATGAGAGAAGAAATCTGCAAATACTGAATTTATTTCATAAAATTTTTGCACAGTATGTAGAGCAATGGTGTTGGTGAAAGGCATACCCTAATTAACAGCAGATAATCAATAGCTATATAGCATGGAGAGGGAGTAGCACCTAGGAAAGCCTCCCTCTGTGAAGAAAAAATAATGTTTTATCAAAAAGAGTCACAGCCAGTCCTTATAATCAAGATCAGGAAAAAAGAAACCTATGTGTCAAGGACTACCTGAGAAAACCTATCTAGTCATGCTGGGGGCAGGCAGGGGAATCAATTGTGTAATCAGTTGTGCCTATGGAAAACTTTCTTCTTCCAGCCACTTAAATGTTTTATCACGTAAATCCCACCACACACTTTGCGTAGATAACAGCATTATTTTTAAAAGTTTTTATTAGCATAATTTGATTGTATAAAAGGTTTTCATTGTGATATTTTCATATATGCAATGTAATCTTATCAAATTCACCCCACCTATTCTACTCTTTCTTAAACCCCATCCTTTTAACTGTTCTTAGTGAGTTTCATTATGCTATTTTCATATATGTATATAATATGACTTTGATCATATTCACCCCCAGTCACCCTCTTCTATTTCCCTTCCCCTTCCTCTCTTCCTACTGGCTCCCCCTTGATGCTCCTCCTTTTATAATCACATCATATTATTATTTTTTTAGGTCTTGATTCTGCATATGTGTGAAAGCATGGGATACTTGTCTTTTTCAGCTTGGCTTACCCCACTTAACCTGATGATCTCCAGTTTGATTCATTTTCCTCTAAATGACATGATTTCACTCTTTATTTCTGAATAATGCTTCACTCATAGTATAAATGTAGCACATGTTCCTTATTGTACCCATTTTACAGATGACAAAAGGCATGAAACATAAAGTAAACTGCTAAACACCACACAGTTAGGAAGTAATAGAGCTAGAATATAAAGCTGGGTCACACTGCCTTGAAGGTCATTTCAGAGTTCTACATTATGTCTGTTCTCTTACCAATAAGAAAATTCTCTCTCATGCTTTGGTTTTTATATGACCACAAGGCCTCCTTCATCATATTAACTGATTCACCACATAGGTTTGACAAGGAGAGAATGAGCTAGAGTTGATTATAACACTCATGTTCCCTAGTGAGAATTCATAAATAGACTTTCTATTTCCACTAAGATGACCTGAGTATGTGGAAACTTCTTGTATCTGTGATTCCTGAAAAAAACATGCTCAAATCAAACCTAAGAGCAACCATTTTTACTTTCAATCATGGATAATGATATGATATTGTAATCATTTAGTGAAATAAAATGTCTGTGATAAAATAATCTATTGCCTTTACAGGTTGTCTGGGCCTCTTCTTACCTCATTGGCTGTGGGGTTGCATCATGTCGAAAAGAAAGAATCCCTCAATATCTCTACATTTGTCACTATTGTCATGAGTATGTAATATCCATTTCTCATAATTTTTCTATATATATATATAGAGAGAGAGAGAATATATATGTATCTTCCTAAAACAACTAGTCCAATTTTTCAAAATTATAAAAAATACTCAAATATTTTCACTTAGGCAGAGTTTTAGGGATAAAATATCTGTCATTTATTCAATACCAAAAAATCCTCCAGAAATCTACATATGTACTCCTATACTTTCACTTCATACTTTTACTAAATAAATCTTTAACTCTGCAAGAGAATATAAAAAATTTAAAACAATTTCGCAGTAGTCTTTTTATAGGCCATCAACACTTGAGGTAGTTATCACATAGGGAAATACATTCAAGCTAGCTTAAAAGCAAAGAAAAAGAATATTTATTTAAACAAGACAAGAGCAATGTTTGAACTTAAGGGCACCAGTTGCAGGGGAGACTTGAGAAGGAAGTAAAGAGAAAAGGCAAGTGTCCTTGGCTGTGCATAGCTTTCTAGTACAAATATTGACACATGTCTTCTCTTTAGAAATTGAACTTCCACATTATAAATGCTATCACAGGTACTAGCAAGCTAGACAAGAATGACTGCAGGGCCTGTCTACTTGTCTAACTCCATTGATAGTTATCTGGTAGTTATCATAAAAGGGGAGATTATTCAGATGGATCTAGCCCTGTGATATTTGACTATATGTCTAAGTTTGATAACACTTTTGCTGATGAAAGTTGATGACAGGTCTACAAGTTTCCTTCAGCTGCATGTATTTTCTGGGAGAACTCACATACTTTTCCTCCATACTGTGAACTCCAAGCATGGTATTTAACCACTGTCTCACATGGAGGCAGCACAATAAAAGATGTTTAGTGTAAATCAATGAACATTATTTGTCTGATAACATGCTACCATATTTAAATTCCAAATGGAGCCCCCAATATCATGGTATATTCACTAAATATAATATATTTTCACAATAGCTCTGTATGAATTACCTTGTGCTCCTACCATGTCTGGATTTATTTAATTTGTTAAAAATGTGTTAAGTTTTTCTTCTAAGTAATTTGTTCTGAGCACAAAAAGATTCCTTTGTAATTGCAAAACATGATTTTCTCTATATCTTTTTAGAGGTTGTTACACTGGAATGAACTTCAAACAATACAAAAAAAGAAAAGTAGAGTATGTGGAAACTAAGATAGGCAAATTTTTCCATTAAAATTCATCCAAGTATCTAATTTCCTTACTGAATTTAGTCATAACTTTTTACAAAGTTGTAATAGTTCAGAGACATTGGAGCAATAAATACCAGTTTGAAAAGTTTTCACCAGAATATTGATACTGCTTTTTAAATGGAATTAATTAAGAAGCAGATGTTATCTATGTTATTATTTTAGACATTTGTAGATCAGAATTGTATTTTTTGAAATTTCAAACTCCAGATCTAGAGATTCTCATCTAGTCTTTCTTTCCACACTCCATCATGTTATTTGCCTTTGTCCATGCAGGTACACTTTTTCCCTCTATACATACCAGATGTTTCATAAAAAGACAGTAACATGTGTCAAGCTTTTCATGGCATAGTACAAGATTAAATTAAAACACCTCCAATTCAAATCTTTTAAGAGTTTTTTTCTTCACACTGTTAAATAACAATGCCTTTTAAAGCAAACTTTTCCCAAGTTCATATAGGTATTAATGAAGAATTGTGTCCTATTTTTCTTCTTTAAGGGGAAATGATCCTGATACAATAAATGAACCTTACAAGAAGGGCCCTTCATGTGGAGACTGTCCAAGTCACTGTGACAAAAAACTATGCAGTAAGTGTTACAAATTCAGGCCGTCTAAAGTCAATCCATTGATCTATCCTTTGAATAAGAGGATAAACAGTATTCCACTTTTCTACAACTTTCATCTCAACCTCATCACAGAATATATCAACATTACTTCTGCTTACTCTTCCATCATCCACAACAAAGACCATTTATTTGATCCGTTGCAATGGAGACGAGAATGTCTAACAAATGTATGATATAACTAAGTGCATATAAGTGCATATTGTTTTCTGTTCTCCAAATGGCTCCTGAGCTACCTTACTGCAGCCCGTAAATTACACCTACTGCTTTCAGTGTCCGGTATCCTCAAAAGGCCAGCTCTTCCATCATTTCCCCACTTGCCTGACAACTTGTCAAGGCATGCAGGTTTTTACTAAGTGATGTTACCTATTCTTCTGTGTTTCTCCTGGAACATCAGCTAAGGAGTTATCAGTTACACTGTTCCATATAGTCCTGTCCTTTATTGCTTAACTAAGTCCTTTTGGTCTTTTTACAACTGACACATAAAAGTCATACATATTTATGAGGTAACATGATAGTTTGGATAAGACCAAAAGTACAGAAAACAAAAGTAAAAATAGACAAATGGAATTATGCAAAATTAAAAACTTCCACAGAAATGATCAACAGGGCAGGGAAAACCTAACAAATTGGAGAAAATATTTGCAAACTGCAGTTTGATAGGGGATTGATGCTCAGAGTAGAAAAGGAACTCCAAAAAGTCAACAGCAAAAAACAAAACAGTATGTCCCTTATGTTTTCTTCTGGTAGATTTATAATTTCATGTCTTATATTAAAGTCTTTAATCCACGTTGGTTTTTTCTTTGTTTGTTTTTTGCAATAGTAGGGTGAACACAGGGCTTCACATTATACTTTCCTAGCTACAGGCTGAGCTACATCCCCATCCCTTTTTAAATTCTGAGACAGAGTCTCACAAAATCATCCAGGCTAGCATTGAACTTGTGAACCTTCTGCCTCAGCCGTCCAATTAGGTGGCATCACAGTTCATAACTATGGATACCCAATTTCCCCACCAGCATCATTTTTATTAAAGACTGTTTTCTTCAGTGCAGGTTCTTAGCACCTTCACTGAAAGTCAGTTGACTGTAGATATGTGACTTTGCTTCTAGGCTCTACATTCTGTGACGTTAGCCTGTGTCTCTATTTATGCAGTAAATGGTATGACAATGCCATACTGTTTTGATTACTACCCCTTTGTAGTATATTTTGAAGTCAGGTAGTGTGATGCTTCCTGCTTTGCTCTTTTTGTTCAAGGTGGTGATTAGCTATTTGAGTTTTTCCGTGCGCCCATATGAATTTTAGGATTTTTGCAGTTCTTTGAATGATGTTATTGATATTTTCATAGGGATTGCTTTGAATCTGCAGATCACTTTCTATAGTATGAACATTGATTCTTCAGATCCATGAATGACTACAGCGTTCTTCTTTTCTGTTGTGTGTGTGTTTGTCCCCTTTCATTTCTTTCCTCAATGTTTTGTAATTTTCATTAAAATTTATCTCTAGGTGTCTCATAGCTGTTGATTTTCAATCATTTACCTTTGAGAACTTGATGTTTTGATATTTTGGAATAAATGTGACCTTAGACTTTCCTGCACTTGGATATTATGCCCCTCTCTAGGTTTTAAAGTCTTCTCTTCTTTTTTGAATAAGCTTTATGTACATGTCATTCTCAATACCCTCTTGAAATCTAATAACCCAAATAATTGCTCCCGTAGTATTGACCAACATTCCTGTAAGATTTTATTCCTCTTCATTTTTTTGTCATTTTTTTTCCCTCTTTTATTTTCAAATGTCAGACCTTTCTGCTTACTAATTCTTCCTTTTGTTTGATCCATCCTGCTTGGACACCTTCCATGATGTTTTTAATTTCACTCTATGTACTCTTTAGCTCAAGAATTTGTTTCATTTATTCAAAAAATTGCTTCCATCTCTTATGTTTTTATGTTAATGTGTCAACTAAAACTGCTTTTTTTCAAGTTTATTCAGTTTCCTTAAAACAGTTGTTTCAACTTCTCTGAGAGTTCTCTCATACTGATTACTGCCTATTCAGTTTCTGACACTACATTTTGTCTGCTTTATGAGGTTATAGTTAACTAGAGCATTTAATGCTTGTTAGGGTGCAACATTGTCCAGAGATTGAAGGATTAAATATTTGAGGTCCTAATCTGATTACGTTTGTGCCTACCTTTCCATCAATTCTAAACAGGCTGCTTATTTTGTCTGAGGTTCTAGTCACTTCTACTATACTAGCGGTTTTCCTAGGAGTCTGCTGTCAGAACATTGTCTCAGTTCAGCACTAGGCATGGTGCAAGCTCAGGTGTGTCAGTTGGTGAGATGAGAATGCACCAGAAGGGAACCCAGAAAGTGTAGACTGTCTCCACAAGCTTCTCCCTAAAGCTACACTCAGCTCATGCCCAGTCACCAGAGTATGGACAGGCATCATGGTATTCTACTTGCTACTGGACGTTGCAATAGAGGGATTGTCTCCCGACGATCCCTGGAGACAATGAGTAAAGGTTTGGAACCTACTTTACTCTCCTCTCAAGCAGATAATACCTCTCTCTTTCTTGTGAAGCCCATAGTTGCAGAAGTAATGCACAGGCAATCCCATACCCACCAACACTGCAATGCTGGTTCACAGCCAGAATACAAAATCCGTTGTGACTAGTATAGCTCAGGAACATGTCTGTGATCCATGCTGCTATGACTTGCCTGTGGTCTGCGACAGTTGCAGCCAGCCAGTGATGATGTTGGCCAGAATGTAAGTTTGTGTCTCTGGAGCCATGATTCTTTGACTGGCACTGAGAGAGGTCCAGATGGCTCATTTCAGAGGCCAGTGGGGTCTCCTGTATTGGATCACTCTGGCTCGGCACTGAATTTCAAGGAAATGTCATATATTTCCTTTTCTGTCCTGTCCCCTAGTGGTGGAGTCTTTTCCCACACTCTGCTGCCTTAGGTGGAGGAGGGATGGTGGAGACAGACCCTAAATGGTCAGCCTAGCACTGGTCCAAAGACTCAACCCATGACACTAACCTAGAGGCAGGGACTGTGGACTCTGCCTGGTCCTGGGTTTCACTGTCCTGGGTTTGGTATTGGATTCAAGTCTGTGGTATGGATTTTTTCTCTCTTCCTGCACCAAGCTGGTGGCAGGCATCTCTGTTTATGCTTTATTTATTGGAAGGCTACAAAACTTATGTTCTTTCACCTTACTAGGCCATTCTATTTGCTTTTAAAGTGGGGAAAATGGATTCTTCTTCCTCTTGAGTTTTTTTTCTTTCCTCTCAGATCTGCTTCTCCTTCTCCTTCCCCTAACCCTATTCCTTCCCCTCTTCCTCTTCTTCCTACTGCTCCTTCTTTTCTTCTTCCTCTTCTTTTCTCTCAACTTCATTTCTCAACTTTTTATACCTCACTTCTGAAACAAAATGGAGTTTGCAAAACACACCTCCTAAAAAAATCAACTAATTATCCATGCCTTTGTGGAAAGAGGAGAAATGAATTTATTTTCTGTATTCAGAAGAAAAACATAATGTCTATTGTGACAGAAAAATGTAATAGAAGTAAAAGGAACATAAGAAAGAGAAATATTCAATCAGACTGAATTTATGACCAAAACTATATATCATCTCATAAATCTTAATTCACCTATAAATGAATAAGAAAATAAAATATATTAAGAAATGTATAAATCTAGCAGTGGAGTATATTGGTCAAAAATCATACTAAAAATTTAAGACTTGAACACATAGATATAATCTGTTTAATATATTCCAAACAAAAGTTTTGAAAAAAATCTTATACATAAACTTATGAGAATTATACAAGTTAAAATAAAAGCTAAAAAGATAGATTAAAACACCTCAAAAAAAAACAAAAAACAAAAAAACCAGACCAGGCTCACACCTGTAATCCTAACTACTTGAGAGTCTGAGCTAGGGAGGATCTTCATTCAAGGCCAGCCCTGGCAAATAGTTTGTGAGATACCATCTCCAAAATGACCATAGTAAAATGGACAGAAGGTGGGACTCAAACAATAGAGTGGCTGCTTTGTAAGTGGGAAGCCCTGAGTTCAAACATCAGTCCCACCAAAGAAAAGAAAGAAAGAAAAGAAAAACAGCCTCAAAGAAAATACACATTAGCTATAAAGAAGAAAAACTCATTGGCAACATATTTCCCCTAATACTTCATAACAGAATATATTCACGTAACAATGGGTAACTGCTTTAAAACACTTCTGCAGGCACACACACAAACACATATGAGAGTGCTCAAATAGTGGTGATTGCACATGACATAGCTCCCACTGAGATGGCTGAATTCCTGCCTGCCCTGTGTCACAAAGTAAGGGTCCCCTACTGCATCATCAAGGAAAGGACAGGCTGGGATGGCTTGTCCACAGGGAGATAGGTACCACCGTTGCTTTAAGCCAGGTTAAACAGGAAGACCAAGTAGCTCTGGCCAAGCTGATGGAGGCTCTCAGGACCAATTACAACGACAGAGATTATGTATACACCATCACTGAGGAAGCAAGGTCCTGGGCCCAAAATCTGTGGCTCACATTGACAAACTGGAAAAGGGAAAAGCTAAAGAACTAGCCGCTGAACTGGGTTAAAGGTACAATGTTGAGTTTTCTGTATATGAAGATAACGAAAAATTATTCTTCCCCCCAAAAAGTAACAAGTTGTCAATAACCTTGGAAAATTATTCATCATAGGAAAAGAAGCAGAGCTACACTGCCGAGTGTACATGGCTGATTTGTGATTATGACAATCACAAATCGTCTCTTTGTTTTGCCTTGAACTACAGCCGTTCTCTAGGTTACTGAAAGCTGACTCAGTGTAGTAACTTAGGGGAGGAAAAGCATATGTCATAGAAAAATAATCTAATCGAGAGTAAAACTTAAGTATACATGTGCAATTTGCACGATTGTTACAATCTTGATACAGTGACCTGCCTTATAATTGAAAGAGAAGACATAATGGAAATTTTAAATCAACAACAAAATTATCAATATTTGAGAGTCTTTATAAAATATTGAAGGGAGAAGTAAATTATAGTTATATTCTCTCTCTCTCTCTCTCTCTCTCTCTCTCTCTCTCTCTCTCTCATATATACTCCAAAGCAATCCAAAGCAAAGCCTTAATCACTAAATGATACAGCATGGACAAGTAAACTACCAAGAAAGAATGGAACTTTTACCCCTTTATTTTATTTTGCTAATGACATTGTTGCTTTCAAAACCACAGGGTAATTAACTCCAATCTGCTTAGTTATAGCCCTAGTAATAAAAAATCTAGGTCTGGTGGATTGGCTCAAGCAATAAGAGTGCCTGCTCAGCAAGCATGAAGCCCTGAGTCCAAACCCCAGTGCTACCAAAAATAGAAAAAATTCTGATGAATCTTGCTTTGTATAAAGACAAGAATTCTATCTCTTCCTTCACAGGGATCTAATTCAGTTTATCACTTGTTTTGCATTCAGACTTAATCAGGTCACCAAATTTAATTAGCTATAGGTAACAAATTTTTTTTTGTCTTTAAGAATATGGTCTCTGTTTTTTTTTCAGCCAACCCCTGTCACTACTATGATGAATATAGGAACTGTAAGAAACAAGTAAAAATTCTTGGATGCAATCACCCATCAATTCAACTATTTTGCAAAGCTACCTGTCTGTGTAAAACTGAGATAAAATAACCTTTGGCTGTTTGTAACTCTCCTATGTCATGAAGATAAAGAGATGCATGCTGGATAATATGTTTTACCTTAGCTTACTTCATGATTTTCTGCTGAATTTCACTTGGTTTTAATTATACTCAAAATCCTCATTTTTAATAGTCATTTATGGTCATCAATGTCACCCACTCCTGTCTAGATGTATTCTGAAGTAATGTTGTTCTAAACTTTTGTGCTGCTTAAATGAAAAATTAAGTTTAACACTTGCCTCAAATTTAAAACATGTGATCTGTAGTGCCTAGGTTGACATAATTCAACTAATGACATAATTGAGTCTCTCCATAGTAACCTCTGCAAAAGTAGGATCTACCTAATTGAACTCCTTCCCCTGATAGCCCCATTGTCTCCAACCAATGGATACTTGTCTTCTTTGTACAAACTAACTCAATCATTTACTTTAAAGTTTTACATCTATTTTAAACTAAGCATTAAAAGGTGCATAATGCAAACAACCTGCAGAGTAAATATTATTTAAGCTGAAATGGCATATATGTCTCATTGTTTCATTGCGATCTACATGTATGCATTTATAAAGCAGGAAATAAAGCTATCTCATCTTTCTCTTCTTTTTCCTCTTCCCATTCTTCTACCATCACTCTCCATTTCCTCTTCTTACATGAGCATTCTCAGGTTTTTATGTTTCTAACATCACAACTGGAAATACTTTGTGCTGCTAAGTTATTGGACTGTCTCATTCTTTGATTTCCTCTTAAATTCTCTAATTGGAAAGAGCTCAGTATAGATCTGCTGTATGCAAAGAGTTTTAAGTAAGGAAAGAAAAGGAAGTGGAGGAAAAATAACAAATGATGAGGTTTTAGTGTTACAAACTGTTCTTAATGCTTTCAGTCACTCAAAAGCAAGTTCTTGCTTGCTTCAAATGAAGGCATAAATATTTGTGAGTCTGAACATTTGAGGAAACATTGCAAACAGTATAGGAAAATATACACTAAGTCCAGCACTTTGTGTTGGACTCCATCATTTGTCATATCCCTTGTAAATAAGAGTGAACGGAAACCACATTTTGCTACAAAGATGAAAATAGTTTGAGTGACCCAAAATATGCTCTGTAGGCTATCTCCAAGAAAATAGCAACAATGTGAGATTTCATGAGTGCCCCGATACCACGTCCATGGCTTATCAAGGGTGTTTATGGACACAGAAGAATATTTACGCACAATATGGAAATTCCTATGCTATATCTCAGGATCACTGACAGGGGAGGAGTGTCACCACACATCCCAGAATAAATAGGTGCGTGTTTCTGTCTGTATGGACATATATTAATAAAGGTCAGGAAGACCTATGGAGCAAAGGTAGAAAAAAGCATTCAGAATAAATCCTAATTAGATTGTTGGCTCATGGTGGAAAGCAAAGAAGCACAAAAATGGAACTGGATCACAGGGAAAGTTGAAAGAAAGCTAGAGTGATGGCTTGGGCAGAGACAACATATCCCTGACCAATTGTAAGAGCAATACAATATAAACACTGGTCTACTTATATACAGATGAATTCATCTGTAGATAAATAATGGGTTCTTTCAAGGTGTCAGACAGACAACTGTCTTATGGCAGGATTAACTGTGAATTTTCACAACTCCACAATATTTTCTTTAACATGTATGGGCACTGCTGTTCCCTCACTGCCAAGGAATCAGTTCTGGAATTGTATACCCCAAAGCACTAAACAAGAGTGTGGTACATTTTCTACACTTAGATGACTCCATAACTTCCATAACTTCTGCATATTTTATGGGAAAGAAAAGAATGAACCAGTACAGAAATTTCACTTCTCAGAAGCCAATAGTCTTATTTAGAAATAGAATAATTTTTTCTCCACCTTTCCTTAGACAGAAAGTTCAGAATTTATTATGACTTAACACAAAAAACTTCCAGAAAAGTAACTCCACAACAAGACCACAAGATGGCAGGGTGTCCACACTGCATTTAATAATCCTTTTGGAAGAAACCATTCAGGCTTATAATAAGATTGTGTCTGGTCTTTTATCTAATCTATATGCTCCCTATAAAATTTTTGATGAGCATTGATCTGGGATATGAAAAACTCCACATTTCTTTGTAAAATTTTGCAAATATCAGAGCTTCTTTAAGCAGATAAAATTAATTTGAATAGGAAAACAGGATACTATTCAGTGGGGGGGTTCTCAAGAGTGTGTGTACTTTAAAGTTAAGAAGGCAAGAAAATTATTTCACTTCAAATCTCAACTTCTCTTAGGTTTTTGACTTCAAATTGTGCATTACTGAAATCACTTCCAAGTGCCAGCTGATTCTAGGCATTTAGGATTTTGCAGGGTGTTGGCATATATTAGGTGATTTATATTATGTTTCTTCAATTACATAATAGAATTTAAGATGGGATTTTATTATTTCTGTGCTATTAAGAGGACACTGAAGCCCAACAATTTTAGATGACTTCCTCACCATCACCAGAAAAAAAGACCAAGAGCATCTACTACTGAAATTCAGAGGCAATGAAATAATGTGCCACTAGAGGGAGCAATAATTATAAATTTTAAAAGTATTCTGACAAAATGTAAGCATGTTTGCGAATTGTTTTCTTTTCCGTTCCTTAGAATTTTATAAGCAGGAATGTTACGTACATTTTAAACTGAACGGCACACTAAGCTATCCAGTGGCCTGCAGTTGTAGTTATTTGGAACCTAATAACTTTTGTCCACGTGAAGTTGCTGTTTCAGTACAGAAAACTGAAGTCCAGTGATTACACCACCTTTTTTTTTTCCTAAAACTCTCTTTTTTAATTTTTAATTTTTATTTATTTTATTCTTGGTAGTACCTGGATTTGAACTCGGAGCCTTATACTTGCTAGGCAGGTACTCTACCACTTGAGCCATACTCCCAAGTTTTCTGTTTTTTGGGGGGTTTTGTTTTTGTTTTTTACTTTATTTTTCAGATAGGGTCTCACTTTTGTCTGGTACCAGCCCCTAGACAGCAAGTCTCCTACCCAGCCTTCTGGGTAGCTGAGATTACAGGTACAAACCATTATACCCAGATCATTTGAGATGGGGTCGCATTAACACTTTGTCTGGGCTGGCCTTGAACTGTGAACTTCTCAGTCTCTGCCTCCTGAGTAGATGGGATCACAGGTGGAGACACAAAGTCCAGCTGTCTGACACTTTCTTGAAAACATATCCTGAAGTTTTTTTTCCTGAAGATGTTTAAATGTAATATATGAAGTGATATGCTACAGCAAAGTTCTCATTTTGGTTAAGTTTCAAATTTAGTCCTTAATGGACCCATGCCATTACTTTTCCCTCAGTCCTCTGCCCTTTCTCACTTCAAAATTTATTGATATTTTAAACTTAAGATACCACTACATTACTTTTTGTTTGTATCCTGTTGCTTGTTCCTCTGCTCTTTCCTTGCTTCCTCTGAATTGCTTGAATATTTTAAGGATTCCATTTCAATTTGTTTTCTAATTTTCTTGAGTATATACACTTGTATAATTTTCTTAATTCTCAAATTATCTCTCTCTTTCTCTCTCTCTGTGCTGGTACTGACGTTTTAATACTTAAAGTATAGAGAGCTCCTTTTTGTGGACATTTCTTGACCCCTATACTTCAAAAATATAATCAAGTATTCTTCTGTTTACACTATGTATCACCCCCAGATAGTGTTACAAGTTTTCTTTCAACCAAGACATAAGATTTAAGGAACTCATCAGAGTAATACACTCTATTAAGTCTGTTTCACCCTACTTTCATCTTTATGTTTTCCACCTTTCATGCTTAGGTGTTTCTTTCTTTTGTGGCTGAAGCTTCCTGTTCCACTCCCTCTCCTGGAGAACCTCCTCCAGCTATTCTCTAACAATGATTTTGTTAGTGGCATATTATTACAGTTTTCCTTCATTGGCAATCTTTCTTTTACCCTCATTGTTGGAGGATATTTTTACTAGATATGGAACTCTGGGTTGATGAGCTGGGCATAGAGGGGCCAGCCTGTAATCCCAGCATTTGAGGGCTAAGGCTGGCTGACTGTGAGTTTGAGGCCTTTATGTGCTACATAGCAAGGTGCTGTGGAGAGGGGAAAGGAAAGAGAAAGGGAGAGGGGAGTGAAGAGAGACAGAGGAAGAGGGAGAGGGAGAAAAAGAGAGAATATGTTGGATTGAGATTGTGGTACTGTATCTCACTTGTCTCTTGCCTCCTTGCCCCAGATGATAAATCTGAAGTCATTGATGTCACTAAAGTGTCACTGCTGTTTTCAAACCCTCTTCATCATTATTGTTTTTCAGAAATGTGATAGTGATGCGCCTTGGGTCCCCCAGTAGATCGCACTGAAACCCTGAGTAAGGGGGCAGTTTTTCTGAGTATGGCTAGAATTGAGAAATTGTTGCCAAAAATGTTTTTGTCTCTGTTATCCCACACTCTGACCTTTAGTTGAGAAAATGTCCTGTTTTTGGTGATTTTTTTGTCTGCACTTGTTAGAGGCTGAGATGGAAGCTTCTGTCACTACAGTCACAGGAGATACGGAAGTCTATGCTTGCATCATTTGTTGAAAATAATATTTTTTTTCTTTCTTTCTTTCTTTCTTTCTTTCTTTCTTTCTTTCTTTCTCTTTCTCTTTCTCTTTCTCTTTCTCCTTCTTTCCTTCCTTCCTTCCTTTTCTTTATCCTTTCTTTTTCTTTCTTTCCATCTTTTCTTTTCTTTCTTGTATTTTGGAATCATTTTAGATGATGAGATCATTATATAAGTAGTTCTCTCCTCTTGATTCTTTATTATATTCCATCAGTCTACTTGTTGCTTTTTATATCGGCTCATAGTATCTGAATGTAGCTTTGAAATTTGTGAAATCAATTAGTGTAAGACCTTCAAATTTGCTCTTTTCTTCTTCTTCTTTTTGGCTATATTGTTATTCGAACTCAGGGCCTCACACTTGCCAGGCAGGCAAGCTAACACTTGGGTCATGCCCCCAGCCCTTTTTGCTTTA